CCTTATTCCTGATATCTGGCGCTGTGCAACTTTTGCCTCTTCTGCAAAGTTGGAATAACTAGGGAGAGTCAATGTTTTGAATTTAGGACATTAGGGCAGCTGGGACAGTACAATTAAAGACATGCGAGAAAAAGGACTTCCAAGGACTGGCCAAATAGTTCAGCAGATTAAAGCGCCCTCTTAAGCAGATGCAGAGGCAGGGGCCAGGGGTTCGATCCCAGGCCTGCCATGCTGGCCCTGCCCCCCGCTGAGACACGACTGATTGCGTGGTAGCGTGTGCCTGTAATCCCCGTGCTTGGGAGCCTGAAAACAGGCAGATCACTATTAGTCTGTGTAGTAAGACCCTGTACTAAAAAAAAAAAAAAAAAAAAAAAAAAAGTTGGGGGGGGGAACTTCCAGAATAGCTTTAGACAGGGCCAGAAGAACAGTGTATGTTGGAGGAAAGGGGGAGTACTTTGAGAGGGATTAATGGCAACGTGCCTTCTAACATAATACATAAGCATATAGTCTTCTTTCTATCATAACTTGTATTAACTTAAGTTGGCAAAAATAGCCAAGAGAGACAGTAGAATGGTCATCCTTTCTTTTACAGTAAAAAGAGACTAACTTTGTACCGATAGAAAGGGTTTAAACAAGACCTGGTGAAAGTGATCCTTTCTTCTCAAAGACCTTTTTGCCACCTGTATCAACTTTCTGCCCTTCTTAGAGCAAACATACTCACAGGTGTCTCCTCCACGCCCTGGATCTGAGCTCCTGATGCAATGCCACACACACACACACACACACACACACACACACACACACACACATCCTTAGCCACCGACCCACCTTTGTGGTCAGTGCTACAAATTCATCCAGATACCTCTGTGATGCTTCATTATGATAAAAAACCTCACCTTTCCAAAGTCCTTGACATCATTTTTTTTTTTTTCCGGTACCAAGGATCAAACTTAGGACTTTGTGCTTGCCAGGCAGGTGCTTATGCCATTGAGCTATCTTTCCAGCCCTAAAGGAATTTGTTTGTTTGTTTTTTCTGTATTTTAGGGAAGGGTCTACAGAATGTTCAGGGTCTCACTGCTAGATCAGACTCGTAGTGATCCGCCTGTTTGTAGTCTCCCAAGTGCTGGGATTACAGGCACGCGTCACCACACCCAGTCTCATTCGCCATCTCAGAACACCCTGGGGGGATGGGGCCAGCACAGCAGGCCTGGGGATCAAATCCCCGGACCCTGAGCCTGCTTGCAGGTGCTTTACTCCGCTGAGCTGTTTGGCTGGCCTCCAAAGTCCTTGAAATGCCACCGTGGTGGTGCAGACAGGCAAGGGGAGCAGCTTTTGCCAACTGACTCTATTTCCCCATACCATTAAGGAAGTGTAAAGGCATGTTCAAAGCAGGGCTCATTCAATTTGCTCAAACAATTTAAGAAGGCAGATGTGGTAGGAGCATACTGATAGCTTTACTGTGTTATCTCTATTGATAGTCTTATTGTAATGATCAGAAGCCTGTAATTGGAACATATAACCTATCCATCCGTAGCATAAGGATTATGAATTACTGTATTATAACTTACATGGTTTCTGTAAACCACCTCAGATCAGAGTGATGTGACTCAGTTATGTTTTTCTTACTGTACCAATATATGAGCAGTAGTGCTCATAGCAAACATTGGGAACCATACTCCCTATAACAGAGAGACAGCTCAGGTAAAACAGGTTCAGGAATCAGGAAGACGCAGCTTGAGTCACCCCGCTTCCCACCAGGTCTCCCCTCTTTATTCTGTGTGGACACTCACACTGATCAGCAGCGTGCAAACTCCAAGCCTGAAGTTGAGTGACCCACTTTCACCTCCTGTAGGTTTTGTGATTGTCATTTCTCCTTTGTTTTTTTATTCACTTAGTACATTATTTGTAGTATTTCTCTTTTTAAAGATTAATGCACAAAAAAGTAACATAGTAGCCAAAAGAACAAATGCCTATTCTCTTCTCTCTATGCTTTCAATTGCCTGTTTTTGTGGTTCTGAAAACCTCGTCCAGAGGAGGCACCACTGAACTACAACCCCAGCCCACTCCACATGGTTTTGGGGTGCTTTGCTAGCACCACAGAATTTGAGAGTGGCACAATAACCAAGAGATCACCGACTCAAGGGATCACAGGAAAGGACCTTGGAGGTTCTCTGACCTGGAGCAATTGTTCTCTCTCCTGGCTGAATATTAGAACCATTTGAGGCACTTTTTAAAAGTCCATGTCTAGCTGTGACTTGGAGGTTGTGGTTAAACCAGCTGATCCACAGTGAGGCTGAACTCTGATGCTTCTCTGCTGACTCTGCCTGGTTCATCTGTCTATATGTGACAGTGGGGTACTAAAGCCTCCCACTATGATTGGGGTCTATCTGTCCTTTGATGTCAAGTAATATTTGTTTTATGCAGATGGGCATTCCCACAACATTGTTCACAGAGCTGGTGCAACCACTGAGGAAATCTCTATAGAGATCCTGTTCCTGCACATGTTCCTGAGCACACTTGAGTCAGCATGCTGCAGTGACACATGCTCAGCCATGTTTATAGCAGGGTATTTCATAACAGCCAGGCTGCAGAAACACCCTAGATCCCATCAACGGATGAGCGGAGACAAAAGGTCGTATATTTACATGATGGAATAAATAACTCATTTGAAGGAAAATTGATGAAACTAGAGAACATTATGTTAAGTGAAATAAGCCCGACTCAGGAAATTAAATTCCATATGTTTTTCTCTTATATGAAAAGCCAAATGGGTAAACAAAATAAAGAAGAGATGCCAGGAAACCAGGAAGTAGACTCCTGGAGAAGGGAAAGAGGTTAGGGCCAGAGGTGGGAAGAGGGAAAGGGAGAGAGGGGTACGAGAGAGAAAAGACCCACATATGTTAAACACATGCACCATTTTATCAAAATGAACCTCAGCATTCCTCATTACCAATATGCACTACTTAAAAACAAAACAAAACAAACAAAAACAGTCTCTGTGTTCAAATCCATCCCTGATTCAGATTTCTTTGGGTTGGAATTCTGGCATCAAGATTTTCTTGTCTTTTTTTTTTTTTTTCTTTCTATTTATTTATTTATTTATTTATTTTTGTACTGGAGATTCAACTCAGGGCCTTGACAATGAGCTACACTCCCATTTAAAATAATTAATTTTGAAACAGGGCCTTGCTAAGTTGTTTAGGCTGGCTTCAAATTTGAGATCTTCCTGCCTCAGCTTCTCGAGGTTCTAGGCATGCACTGTCATGTGTGGAGATCAAAATTTTTTAAGCCTTTCTCCAACCAGGGATGGAATGCTCTGGTAGAGTTGTGGCCTAGGGGTTCCTAATGTCATAGAGGTTCTATAGCTTCCCCAAAGGACCGGTGACCTCTTCAAACTCATAAACATCTGTAGATGTTTGCCACATCTGACCCAAACTCCCAGCTAGTCCTAAGATCTCCACAACATCCCACCAAGTGGTCCTTCAGCTTTGGCTTAGTGACAGAATGGAAATACCGCTCCTCTCACCACAGAACAGTTCTATGTCAAAGTTCTTGAGGAAAGGGAGGGCAAGCCTCACCTTGAATAAAAGCCATAGACCCTTAGTCAGAAGGGTACATTCCAATCTTCATGTGTAGTTGTTTATATTACATAAGGAAAAACTGAGGCACAGAGAAAATGAGGTCTCTTGCCCAAACTAGCAAACTTAATGCTAAGTTGGAAAATGAAGGCTCCCTGTTTTCTTCCTGTCCTTCAGGATGTGTCACTGAGTCACCCAAAAGGATGATCTGAGGTGCACACCTGGTGTGAACAGCCCCCGGCTCCCCCTAGCCCTGCTTCCTGGATCCATCCAGGGCTGGGTGGAGAACACACAGCCTGTCTCTTCCTCAGTTCTGGGCCTCTCCCACCTTATCTGTCTCCACATGTATGGAGGGGAGGGCACTGGGACATCCAGCTTGGATGGTCGTGTTGGTAGAGCACAAGGTCCCAAAGAGACATTCTACCATGTCCTCTAGAAGTACAGGTGCAGGCACCAAGAGGGGACACCGAGTGGGGTCTGCCTCTGGTCCCTGAGAGGGTGGTGCAGATGATAAAGCAGTGATCTAAGCATGGATGGTCTCCATGGTAGATCTGTAAATCCGCAGTGTAACATGAGTGGTCTTCCAGAGCACCAACTTGCTTAGGGTAGAACCGATCCCTAATCATCTGGAGTCATTCCACTTCTGCAATACCTTCTGTGTACTACTAAGCAGCCCAGGACAAGTGCTCAACACCTCTGAGCCCGGTTGCCTGCTCTGTGGACTGCAGTGTGTAATGCCCAGCTTTGAACTGCTTTATTGAATAAATCATGTAGCATAAAATAGCCAATGGAGTGCCTGGTACACAGGCTGTGCCCAGTCATTGATGGCTGTTGTTATTATTACTGCAGTGATCGGAATGCAAATATGAAGGTGACAAACTGTTCTACATCTTCAATCACCACACAATACATTTTTGATGACAGAGGTGACATGGTACCCAACTTCAAACTCTCAATTCCCACCTGCAGAGCTTGACCTAAAGGTCTGCCCAAGGTAGGTACCAGGATTTGAGTTTGGTTTTGCTCTCTCTGAATCTCAGGTTCCAACTTAATCCTCATTATGAAAGGTAGGAGGAGGGATCGGTGGGACCTTTCAGAAGTGGCTGGGGCTCTGCTCTCTTGTATATATTAACAGATTCACATGATTGGCAGATGAGTGGGTTAGGTGTGCTACAATGGCCAGTTTGCTGAGGTTCCTGTGGACTCTCTGTCTCTCATTACATCATGCCCTGTCCTACTGCAGGACTACCCCCGGCCCTCACCCTATATGGCTCCTTCACTGTGGACCAGAACTGTGAGCCCAAATAAACCTTTTTTCTTTATAATATACCTGTCTGTGGTACTACATTATAACAGAAAGTAGTCTGAGATAGTAGGTGTCAGGAAGAACCTAAATCAAAATGAACAGAATGGCATCCTTACCTGATCATTCTGCTCCATCAGGGGTATTTCAGATGCGGGTTCTCCCTCAAGGCTGACAGACTCAATGCACTCAGCAAGTGCGTCCTCAGTTGCTTCCCTGTGGAGAGGGAGCTCCGGGGCTGTGGTGTCTGTGGACGGCGCTGGGTGCCCATGGGCAGCAGGCTCCGCACCCTGGCCAGCTGCATTCTCACGCAGATCATCTCCTCCAGGATCAGCTTCCGCCGCTGCTTGATTTGAACCAGAAGCAGAATCATACTGCACTGCTGCGTCTTCAGGTAAAGAATCTCTAGTGGGCATCTCAGTCATTTCTGCTCTGTCTCCAGTGGCTAAGGTGTCACCAGCATCATCAGACATTTTAATATCTGCCAACATGATTACAAACACTTTATGCTTTTATGTGACTCATTAAGCTTTCATTGAAAGCTCTGAATAACACAATTAGGCCCAGTAGTGGTAACCTTGCTTCTAACTAATAAGTAAATGGATGTAACCTTACTGTAGCCTGAACAACGACCCTGAAAGGTATTCATCCCCTAATTCCTGGAAGCTGGGACTGTTCCTTACAGAGCAAAATGACTTTGCAGACACCACTAAGGATCTTGAGTCAGGGGACTATTCTGATTTACCTGAGCATCCCCAACAGACAACTGGAGGGAGATCTGACTACAAAGAGGGGCACAGCACTGTACTGTGAGGATGAAGGAAGGGACATGAGCCTAGGAACACCAGCGGCACACAAAGCTGCAGGAGGCGAGAACACCATTCTTCCTCTGAGGCTCTAGATGAGAGCAGTCCTGACAGCACCTTGACTGGGGCCTACTAAGACAGATTTTGGGCCTCTGTCCTCCAGAACCTCAAGACAATAAACTTCTACTGATATAAGCCGTTCAATTTATTGTAATTTAATATAACAACAGGAAACAAATATAAACCAATGGGCCTGTCTTTAGACTTTAAGGATCTCTCACTTGGCATGCAGGGCATGTATTGGGAACTAATATTACCTGTGTCTATAAAATTATTTAATCTGACTTTATTACCTTGGTAGAAAATAATGAAAGCCCAGAGAGCATTTGAAAGGTTACTTTTTTTAAAAAAAGATATTTTATTAGCATTGCAATGTCACTAGGAATACACAACAAGGCCATACATATGCGTAAGTATGCTTCGTTGGGGCCCAGCCGGGGAAGGTCTGGGCTCCAGCTCGAGATAGTTTAGTCAGGGAAACACAAGGGTGAAAGGGAGCTAAGCGACATATGGAACGAATGAGATTTTAACGTTTATGCAGTAACCTACCAGGCAGCGAACTCCTTTAGAAGCCTACAAGTTGTTCACATCGTCTAGAATGGTGCTACCAACACAACTCACTGCGATGATGAAAATGTTGTGTACCTGCACTGTCCAGTAAGTGGATACGGAGCACCTGGACTGTGGCCAGTGCAACTGAAAACTAAACATTTCACTGCATTCCATCTTAAATCATTAAATTTATGGGGTTGGGGAAATAGCTCAGCGGCCCAAGTGCCTTGAAAAGCACAAGGTCCCAAGTTTAATCCTGCATACCGCAAAACAAAAAACAAAAAACAAAAAAAACCCTCAAATAAATAACTAAATGTATACAGGCATGTGTGGTTCATGGCTGCCTTAATGGATAGCATAAATGGAGAAGACTGGTTCAAGAGGATGTCTGCTCTAAAAGCAAGGCAGAGTTCTCACTGCACAAGGCAAATTTCAGGAGAAGCAGTGGACATTTTTGTTGACTTTAATCTTTACCAAGTGGTCAAATCTCATGCTACTGAAACTGTATTGCTGCTGAAACCATGATATGAGAAAAGCCACTTAAAACACCAGCTGCATGTGGGACAGGCTTGCTTACATGGTTCGTGCTAACCCACTTGACCCCAGAAGGCCGGTCTATACAACTGCCTGGTCTTTTCTGACGCTTGATCTGCTTTGCTGGGTCACGCTCCCATCTGAAGTTTTCACACAGCGCTTCTGTGCTGCAGCTCTCAGATAGCTAACTCCATTCCATAGAGGAAGAACAGTGGTTTTCAGATCAAAGGAGAAATAAGGAGCACAGCTAACGAAGACAAGATTGCTCTTGGCGGTGATGAAAAGGCTCTAAAATTACGTGGTGGTAATACAT